TGTTGTCACTGGCTTTCCTGTGATGGCCCCACACCGAACCCGCACGCCCTCCGAGGTATGCGGTGACGACAGACAGGAGGTGGGGCGGATGCTTTCAGGCGGACACGCCGAGAGCATGATGGCTCCTTGTCAGACCCCTTGCCCTGAAGTTGAGGTGGGAAAGCCTGGCCAGCATCCCCACCCTGGAGCATAGGTAAGGAAAAGACGATGCCCGCCGTGACTTTCTGGATGTGGCTAGGGAAGAATGAGTAAGTGACTGATTCACCTAGACCAGTGATGGCAAACCATTTGAGCTCGGCGTGGCAGCATTTTGAAAAACCCTAACTTAACTCTGGTGCTGTGTCACATGTAGAAATTTTTTGATATTTGCAACCATGGTAAAACAAAGATGTATATTTTTGATATTTATTTTATATATTTAAATGCCATTTAACAAAGAAAAATCAACCAAAAAAATGAGTTTGCATGTCACCTCTGACACGCGTGTCATAGGTTCGCCATCACTGGCCTATACACATGTGTACACGCACCCCAAGTATATCTCAGACCTTCAGGACAATAGAGGCCCCAGGCACCTCCTTCCCACCGCCATTCTCATTATCTGTCACTGGCCCCCCCAACACCATCTCAGATAACAGAGCACCTCAGAGCTCTAAAGACAGGGCCTACTGTCTGGTAGCTGCAGGCCCAGGCAGGGAGCACTCTCTCCTGTCATCTCCTCCTCGGAGGCCTTCCCCAGCCAAGTCTGTGTCCCAGTCCCTACTGAGCCCCAAGGGATGCTGGGAAGCAGGCCCCTTACACCACAGGCTTTGCCCACAATTGCTATTTAGTTGCTGGGACATCCCAGCCCCACTGCAATGCCCATGGCCCCCCGAGGCCTGCACAGCGTGCCTGCTCCTTCACCTGTGTCCTCCCCACCACATGTTCTCTCCCCGACCCATGGAGAGTTGTCTCACCTTCCTCCAGGCCCAGCTCTATGCCACTAGAGGCATCCCTGGTCCCTCAGGCCTTTCAGTGGAATCCATCCCCTTCCTCAGATCCCCCTGCTTGCCCCCGGTGCTCCTCGAACTCTGGCCCTGCAGGCCACACCTAAGCTGACCTCTCCCCCCAAGTCTGCCTGCTAAGCCACCTGCTCCTTAATGTGTGGGTGTATGGCAGAGAGGGTGGGGGGTTTGGATCCGATTCCTGTTTTCCCCATAGAATCTAACACAGTGCACCCCTAGCCCCACATTAAAAGAAGGCTTATTTGTTAAATGACCAACTGACTGGCTGGCTGGAGGGACGTGGAAATCGGACATGAGCAGGTTTGGGCCTGTCTGGAAACCCCACTGCCTGGTTAGAGGATGGCTGACAGGTACAGGGAGGGCGCAGGCCAAGAGAGAAGCCGTAAGCCTTGGATGTGGGGCAGCTGGGTCCAGGTTGCTCTGCTGCAGGTGGGACTTCACAAGGATGCTTCTTACTCCAGGGACCCGCCCGCAGTGGCCAGGGCAGGATGGCCCAGTGGGACTGCTGGGCCCCGCTTGGCGTGTCTTATCTCACTGTGCATCACTTCTCTCGGCCCTCTTGCCCTCCCCACAGGGTATGCACCTGTCACTGGCATGTGCCACCCCCTGAGAAGCTGTGCCCTTAACCATGAGGACGGCTTCTCTTCCGCCTTCGTGGTGGCCCACGAGACTGGTCATGTGTAAGTGGCACCGAGGGGGTGGGCAGCACGGCGAGCTCTGAGGTGGTCTGTGGGTGTGGGAGGCTTTGCCCCAGATCGGGCTCCGGTGCCAGTGTTTCGGGAGATGCCAGAGAAGCTTCCCTCAGTGAGGCTCTGCCCTGAGGCGAAGGTGGGAGGTGGGGACAGAGCTCAGGGGCCCAGACAGCAATCCTGGGCCTGCCTTGGGTCCAGTCCCCAAATCCCAGGGAATGGGGGACCAGATGTGGCCTTGTTTTTGAGAAGGTCAATGGCAGTGTCCCGTCGATAGGCTGTGGTCAGCGTCTAGGCCAGTGATGGCGAACCTATGACATGTGTGTCAGAGGTGACACGTGAACTCATTTTTTTGGTTGATTTTTCTTTGTTAAATGGCATTTAAATATATAAAATAAATGTCAAAAATATAAGTCTTTGTTTTACTATGGTTGCAAATATCAAAAAATTTCTATATGTGACACGGCACCAGAGTTAAGTTCGGGTTTTTCAAAATGCTAATATGCTGAGCTCAAAAGGTTCGCCAGCACTGGTCTAGGTGGTCTCGATCTTTTCCCCTCCCCCCCAGTCCATCCACACCTTGAGGCCCTTTGAGACCAGTTCCAAGCAGCTGCGGCGGCTTGCTTGACCTTTGAGCCTGGGTTTTGTAGAGCGCATACTCCTTCATTCATTCACCCTATATTTCTTGAGTAGCTGCCATGTGCCAGGCCCAGTGCTAGGAGTGGGGCCTCCGTGGAGAACAGGACAGAGAAGCACTCGAGAAGCTGCATGCTGGGAGAGAGCCCGTCAGCTCTATCTGATGTGTTGGGTGGTGACATGCACGTGCCACCATCACGCCTCCCTGCTGTGTCTGCCCACAGGGTCACACTCAGCAGCCCACACACAGAGGGAGGCTGATCCCTGCAGTCCGAGGGACAGGGAAGGAGAGGGGCGGGCCTGCCCTCGGGGCTGGGTGTGCCGTCCACGGTCTCTGTGCTCCTCTGCATCCACCTGTCAGCACGGGAAGCCCATGCAGAGTCCATGCCAGCTCTGCCCCCCGGGCAGGTGGTACCTACTCTCTGGGCCTTGGTTTCCTCATCTGCAACGTGGAGGCTGACACCAGTGCCACCTCAGAGGTCCCTTCCTGCACTGGAAGCTGATGGTGCCACACATTCTGGAGCCAGGAGTCTGTCTTCCTTTTTTGGGGGGCGGCGGGGAGAGGGGGTAAGCGATGTTCACTCTTCACTGAGCAGGGGCCTCTCCGTGTGGAGGGGTCAAGCTTAGAGGACCACGTGTCTGCCTAGTGGTCAAGGCCACAGGCAGCCACTTGCAAGTATTTAAGAATTTAGAACCTTTGGGCTTTGGCGTTAAATATTAAGTATAGAGAGCAGACTTGGAAATGCACTATGGTAGGTGCATGCCACAGGCAAAGCTCTGTGCTACGCACTGTGGGGTCTGGGAGAAGCTTGAGAGGCTGGCACAGGGGCTCAGTCAGTGAGGTCGAACTGAACTGAATGAGACCTGGCCTGGCCCTTGGAGGCCTAGGCCTGATGGGAAGACAGCTCATGGCAGGCAAGCTGTTAATGGAGGTTCAGGCAGATTCTGCTGTGGGAGGTCGGCCCATGGGCTGGGCGGCCAGGGAGGGTGTCCTGGGCAGAGTGTCTGGGAGTAGCGATCAGCAGGGGCAAGGCTTTCAGGGAAGAATGAGTCTGGCCCTATTGAGGGACAGAGTGGGGCCTCAGCTTCCATCCAGAGAGATGGTCCTCCCTCTGCCTGGTTGGGACACTGTGGCCAGGAGGCACAGCCTGAAGCCTGGTCAGGGCAGCCTTCCCATTGCTAGCCCACCTCCCCGTCTCCCCAGGGCTGGGCTCCCTGGGCATGACTCGAGGCTCCCCTCTGTCTCCCCCTCTCTAGGCTCGGCATGGAGCATGACGGTCAGGGCAACGGCTGTGCGGATGAGACCAGCCTGGGCAGCGTCATGGCACCCCTGGTGCAGGCTGCCTTCCACCGCTTCCACTGGTCCCGCTGCAGCAAGCTGGAGCTCAGCCGCTACCTTCCGTACGTCACCTCCCCTTTGGGGCCCAGGATGGGGGAGCATGCGGCCTGCCACCTCATCCCCCCAAGTCATCTCCCTTCCCAACGCCATGCCACTTGAAAGCACACTCCATTCACAGCGTTGCTGGTTAGCGTCTGGGCCTCCAGGCACATGGAGGCCAGTACAAATGCTTAGATTTGGCGAGAGCAGTGCCGAGAATGGGCACAGAGTAGATTTGGGTGGGACAGGACAGGCAGACATCCTGCGCTAACCTCGCATGGCAGCTGGCCTGGAACCAGCCTCCTGCATCCTGCATGGCAGGCTGGCTTTTTCCACCCTCAGTCCATGAACCAACCCTTCACCTTGGCCTTAGCGTGATCCTGTAACGTGGGCAAACTGGCCTGTTAGATAGCTACAAGCTGAGCTCTAACCCCAGCCCTGCGTGCCCTGGCCCTGGAGCACCCCAGACACAGTGGGTGGACGGGAGGCCCTGTGTGAGATGAGACACAGCGCAGGGCGGCGGGCTGCACTGCTGCCAGCCTGCCTGCTCCCTAAACCTGAGGATGCCCGCTTCAGCTTGATTCACCTCCTTCTTCACCGGCAGCTCCTACGACTGCCTCCTTGATGACCCCTTTGCGCCCGCCTGGCCCCAGCCCCCTGAGCTGCCTGGCACTGACTATTCAATGGACGAGCAGTGCCGCTTTGACTTCGGCACCGGGTACCACACCTGCTCCGCGGTGAGTTCCCACTGGCTCTGCCAGCCGGGTCGCCAGGACCATGTCCTTCCGTGACCCGGGCTGCTCATTCACAGAACATCTCCTGCCCAGCCGGGCTGGTCGTCTGGAGCTGGGGCCAAAGGTTCTGTTCCATCAGGGAGATTCAGGACGACCGGGACCCAGGCCCTGCCACCTTCTGCTATATACCCGCCCACCCAGCCGCAGGTGTAAGGGTGGGCGCGGGCAGTGGCTGGAGAATGCTCTAGCCCCGGGAAGATGGAATAATCCCTCACAGGGCCAAGCGGAGGCTCAGAGCAGGGGACATCCCAGGGTGGGGGGCTTTCTGAGGGACCAGGCCTTGGTGACTCACCCCCCGATCCAGGAGTGCAGCCCCCTCCTCGGCTCTGCAGGACCAGGAGGCCCTGCGCATGGTCACCTTCCCCACTGCCCAGGCCGCACTGGGACACCTGGTCTCTGCTTTGGGGGTGGACACACAGCCTAGGATATGGGGTTTTAATGCCCATCTGCTGTATTTGTGAGGACGGTTGTCTGGCTGGCGGGGGCGACAGGAGAGAAAAGGAAGTTGGGGCCTTTTTGGACAATCAAAACACAGTTGCCAACCTGTGGTGTGACTGGGTGAGACTGGAGGGAGGTGGCAGTCCAACCTTGTCTGGGCTGGGTGGCAAGGCGCACGGCTCAGGCATCGGGCACAGCCTCCCTAGAGTCTCAAACCCTAATCCCTGCTCAGTGACAAAGGCCTAGAGGGAGGCGTGGGAGGGAGACGGGAGTGTGGGCTGTGGCTGCCCCTTCTTGGTACCCTGTTGGAGAGAGGAGGGGTTGCTGGAGGCCGCTGGCACCCGGGGAAGGTTGGGCCTCAGGGTGTGTGGGGCTCTGGCCGGACAGGCTCCTTCTGCCTCCCAGCTTCCACCACTCCCTCCTCTCTGTCGCTGCCCTTTGCCCCTTGTCAGAGCTGGGGAACCAGTCCAGCTGGTGACCCCATACCCTTTGCCATGCAGTTCACGACCTTTGAGCCCTGTAAGCAGCTGTGGTGCAGCCACCCTGACAACCCGTACTTCTGCAAGACCAAGAAGGGGCCCCCGCTGGATGGGACCGAGTGTGCACCAGGCAAGGTACCTGCAGCAGGAGTGGCTTCCTGGGCTCAGGCCCCAGGGGAGCCCCTGCCTCCTCACCAAGTGTGTAATGAATGTGTGTGGGGGGAGGGGGAAGGGGGCAGATGGGAGCCCCGTGCACATGGAGGCCTCACATGAACTCCTGCACACTCACAGCCCACACCACAGCCTTTGCTTCTCTAGTTGGCAGAATTTGGCATCACCTCATAGCCCATCCAGCAGAAATGCTTACTCCCATTTCACAGATGAGGCCCAGGCAAGTTAAGGAACTTGTGGCGGTCACACAGAGAAGGGATGAAGGAGGACTCCAGATGTCCTGCCTACTGTCCCCCAGGATGTTTCTTCCACACACATCTCCCCGTCCCCCCCACCCCCAAACCTGACCTTTCATGTATTTTCTTGCTGTGTGTTTGCTCCTCATGCATTGGAATGGGCCAGGGCTTCCTCTGGCAGAGGGACTGCATGGGCAGGTGTGGGAGCCCTGAGCTGGGTTCTGAAACCCACCTCTGCTCTATTGCTGGCTCTGCTGGAATCGCTGGGTGGTGACCTTGGGCCATTTACTGAACCTCTCTGGACCCTACTGACCCCTGACCACACACACTGCCAATCCTCCTGTGTTCCGAAGTTACCGAATCATGTCACAGCACATGAGAGAGCTCAGAAGAAACAGGGCATTGAGAGAGACGTGATGACGACTCAGCCTCAGCTGTGAGCCCAGCCCCTGGGCACCCACCCGCAGCAGCCTGTCCTCTGTCCTCTGTCCTCTGCCCTCACCAGGCTCCTCCCACTCGCATCTGGGGCCTCCCATAGCCTGCACAGGCCCGGCAGGCTCCCAGTTATCCCGGAGACAGTATGGCTGCTCCACATGTCACCACCGTTCCAGGCCCTCTCCTGTCACTATTTCACATAGCAGTTCATCAGTGGTTCTCAATTTTGGCCGCAATTGGAACCATCTGGGAGCTTTAAAAGTCCCCCCCCCCCCCCATTTTTTCAGTCGCCCCCCCCCAGAACAGGGCGTGACAACATCTGGGATGAGCTATCTCTTGGGGTGATGGAAATGTCCTAAAATTGGTTTATGGTGACGGTTGCACAACGCTGTGACTTTGTGAAAGTTTATTGAATTGTACACTTGAAATGAGTGCAGTTTGTGGCATATAAAGAGCATATCTTGTTATGGCTTCTTTAAGAAACCCCTGCCCCTAGAGATGCTGATTCCGTTGGCCTGGGGTACAGCCACGGCATCTGGGGTTTGGAAAGTCCCGGTGACTCCAAGGCTGAGAACCACTGAGTGACCTACTGAAGAAGACCCGGGAGCTTTGCTGTATTTCTCCCCACTTGCCTTAGAGGAGAAGGCAAGAAGGTCATTGTGGCCGAGCGTCCTTTGTGCCTGGCCCTGTGCTAAGGCCTTTGTAGGTGTTATTGCCTTCAGTTCTTAGAACACCCCCATTGAACAGGTGAGTAGAGTGGGGCTCGGCAAGGTGAAGTTACGCCGAAGCACACACCGCTAGTCACGGCCGAGCTGGGACTCAAACCCAGGCCTCTCGGACTCGGTGCACGGATGGGTCTCCCCGTGGGGCAGGCCCGCCTCCCACGAACACACCTGCTTACGGCCCCGGGATGGTGATTTCGAGGTGGAGAGCCAAGATCGACTGTAGATAATCCAGTGCAGGAAGACTGTGTCTTCTCTCCCTTCGCAGGCCTTTATTTCTCCGGGGTCGGTGAACAAATAATTGCATAGTTGTCATCGTCATTAGTAGTGTGATTCGCCATTTCTGGAGGGCGGTGAGTGCCGGGCGCTGCCTCACTGGGCGCCCCCGGCGGCCCTGTGCCGGTGGGACGCTGACCTTTCCTGCGTGCTCCAGCTGAGGAGAGACTCGGAGAGGGGAGCCCTTTTGCGGAGGGTCACTCAGCTCCTGGCACGGTGGAATCCTGTGTCACCCGAGGCTTGTGCTCCTATGACCCTTTCTCGGGTTCACCCGTGCTGCCCACCGGCTGTGCCGTGGGCCTAGTTGGGCAGCCTCCGTGGCAGGCTCGATGGCGTGGCCCCAGAGTGACCTCGTGCCCTCTGCTCCGTCCCAGTGGTGCTTCAAAGGTCACTGCATCTGGAAGTCGCCCGAGCAGACTTACGGCCAGGATGGCGGCTGGAGCTCCTGGAGCAACTTCGGGTCATGTTCGCGGTCATGTGGGGGCGGAGTGCGATCCCGGAGCCGGAACTGTGACAATCCCTTGTGAGTATGCTTAGCTGGGGCGGGCACGCCAGGGCACCCCTCTCCTTAGACCCGAGGGGCTTAGAGGGGGAGTGGGCACAAGAGAGAAGGACCCCGCAGGTGGCTGTGTGTCTAGTGGTGACGACCCACAATGGTGGGCAGGGGAAGATCGCTCCCACCTGGGCTGACACCTCCCACTGGGTCTGACATCTGAGAATGGGTTTGAGCCGGTCCTTTTCAAACTCGTGTGCAAAGTTTTCCCTGGGAGCGTGGGGGCCCAAGACTCTGCCAGTTTAACAAGCCCTCCTGTGACCCTGCGCCCCTGGCTAACCTTGGAGAAAACACTGATCTAAGTTGCTTAGTCATCGTGTCTCGGGAGAATACACTCCCCAAGTTGGTTTTCTACCACATGAAACAGAACTTCCTTTAACTTTCCTTAACGTACCTCTTTCTAACATCAAGTCCTCCCTCTCACCCCACCCAACTTTCAGCATTCTGGGGGTGCATTCTATTTCCCCTTTATTATCCCTTCTGTGGGGACCCCTGCCATGGTTTTGAACTTCTGAGCCCCAGTTCTGCAGGGACTGCATCTCCTGATGCTGAAGCAGCCTGATGAGAGATGGGGGCCGGCTGGGGCCGGCATGTGGGCCCACTAGCTCCAGGACCCAGCGGTCTGAACCTCATCAGGGTAGGGCCTGTCCCACCCCTCACGCAATGAGTGATGGGATGAGGCCTGCAGAGTGTCGGGGTCCTAGCATCACCTTAGCTCAGTAACAAACACCCCCTCCCCCTCCCCAGCATCCTCAGAACAGGTCCTACCTACTCGGCTGCTTACCCCAGGGACGGGACGCTCACTGCCTCCCGGAGCAGCCTGTTCCTGTGTCAGATGGCGGGACTGACTTTTCACACCAATGCGCCTAAAGGAACGGCCTTGTACCTTCCACCTGTGGCGGGTATGGAAGCTGGAGTCAGAGCGGGGCCCAGTGGTGCCCACTCTGATAAACCACCTTCCAGTCACGATGGGTATTATCCCCTTGATCAAAGCCACCGGTTATTGGCTCCTCTGTAATAAGAACTGCTTTTATTTTATGAGGCTTAAATGAAATAATATGTGTACTCTCAGCACATCCCAGCACAGAGGAAGCACTAATACATGACAGCTGCTGTTAGAACGATCCCAGTCTGGGAGCGCTTGCTCTGTGCCAGGCGGGACGCGGGCACTTTCCTGCATGGATGCATGTAATTCTCCCAGCGGTCCGAGCGGAGTGCCGGTAACCCGTGCGCTCAAATACATGATAGTCTTACTGAATCCTTGGCACTTAATGGAGAAGAGGCTACAGATTGCTTTAAAATACCTTTTCTTATTTATTCCTCACAGACACACCAGGAGGCAGGTAAAATAAGAGGTATGGTGGCCCCTCCTCTAAGGGGGAATTGAGGCATAGCAAAACTCAATCACTTACCCAAGACTGCATAGTCAGGGCGTGGGGGTAAAGGAATAGTGGAGTCATTTACTGAGTTCCTACTGTATGTCAGGCCTTGTGTGACATTTGGGAGAATATAATACAAAGACGAATAAACTGATTTCTCTTCCAGCCCAGTGGGAGGGTTCGTCGTTCCCATCTTCCCCATCTCTTCCCCACCTCCCTTTTCCTCCTCGATTTAGTGGAATAGGTGGCACATGCCTCAAGGATGGAGCCAGTGACAGCAGGCTCTGAGCCCAGCAGCCCCCACAGGAGGGCACCCTCTATAGTGTATCAGTTAGAAGAGCCCCTTTTGAAGCTAGTCTAAGAGGCTGAGCTGCCATGTGGGAAGCCCGGGCTTGCCCAGCCTTCCCAGCTGCGAGGTCACCGATCTCCCTGTGCTGCCCTAGCCCAGCCTACGGAGGCCGCCTGTGCTCAGGGCCCATGTTCCAGTACCAGGTCTGCAACAGCGAGGAGTGCCCGGGGCCCTACGAGGACTTCCGGGCCCAGCAGTGTGCCAAGCGCAACTCCTACTACCTCCATCAGAATGCCAAGCACAGCTGGGTCCCCCACGAGCCTGACGACGGTGAGTGGGCCCTGCTCCCCTCCCACCCTCCAGGCCTGGGCCCAACAGTGAAGGCTGAGGGACAATGGGGACACCGAAAGGGACATTGCAGTTGGCAGGCTTGCCACAGAGGACGGTGCAGGCCTTCATGTTGTGTAGCTCTGGGGGGCCACCGTCCTCATAGTTATCCCTGGTTTATATATCATCATGACTGTTTTCTGGAGGGGCAAGGAGAATGTCTTGAGCAAGGCCATCTTGTGCTGCACCGGCACTGCCAAGGGTGAACCTGAGAGGGGGCGGTGAAGGATTTAGAAAAGACAGACAAGAGAATAAAAGCTGGGTCTGGGTGGGACGCTGCCCTCTCTGATGGAGAGCTAGCAACAGTGCCATGGACTACAAGCTGTGTCTCTATTTTATAGCAGATTCCACGAGGCAAAGTAAGAGCGTGGTCAAGATGTTTACAATATTCTCATGGGTTTCAGGCCTACTCAACTACATGCACCTGAACTCTATCAAGCCCACATCACTCAGGCACGTGGGGCCACGTGTTCGGACCATAGGTTCAAGTTTACAACTACAGTGGGGCCTTGACTTACGAGTGTCCCAACTAAGGAGTTTTTTGACATACCATCTGTCTCTCGGCCGGTTTTTTGCATTGAGTTGACAGAGTAATTTGAGTTAACGAGCTCCTTAACGAGCTTGGTCTCGGAACGAATTAAACTCGTAAGTCAAGGCCCCACTGTATAGATGTTGGCTATCATTGTGCTGGGAGGGCTTTGCCTTCCAAGCTGGGACTTGCACGTGGCCATGAGAGGACTGTGCCCTCTCATTAGTCCGAGGCTTGAACCTGTCCAAACACTGTGGCCGCTCTCCACACCACCTCGCCCAGAGGTGCTGTGAGCTGGCAGCTGTGCTGGCTGTTGGGGTTGGTGCCTTTCCCACATGCCCTTACTGTACAGGTAGGCATAGTACAGGTGCAGGCACCCCTTGCTTTGCAAAACCAACGTCCCGAGAAGCTCGATCCTATCACATGCCGTGGTTTTAGGTCTTACGGATACCATTCCAGCAGTTAATGAAAATGATTTGAAAGACAGGCTGATGGGAACCTGTGGGACCCTCATACAGACCCCCTCCAGGCTGCTGTGGACAGACACAGGCCGTGGGACCCATGCAGAGGGGACCAAGACGGGGCTCGTGCCTGTCTGCAGTGAGCACGTCCAGGGACGGCTCTTGTCGGGGCAGAGGGAGGCCAGCGAAGGGCTGAGATTCACCGCGCCTTAGAGCCGTCGGGCTGAAGGGACCCCAACAGTCCGCTGAGCCCGCCTCCCCACTATTCTCTCCATGTTTCTCCACGGGCTGATGCTCACCCACCAGCAGCCCTCGGCCTCCGTGCCGATGGAACAGCTTTTCCTCTTCAGGCCCTGGCTAGAGTATCAATGGTAGGACCCTCAGCCGTTCAGCCCGTCTAGAGTGCCAGTCTCCAAGTTGGAAGGGACCTCGGGCCTGTCCACTGCTCGCCGGACACATATCCTCTGGAACATGTTACATGTGTCTTCCCACTGCTTGCTTGCCTCCTGCCCTGGGGAGCTCACCACTTCCTTGCCATTGTAGGCTGGCTCCTGCCCTGAGTCCCTCCTGCCTGGGGACATGGTGGTCAGGGTCATACTGGTCTTTTGGACAATTGGAGCCCCCATCCTTCGCCCCGCTCCCCCCTCTCCCCCGATGCCAGTTCCCACCAGGAATCTGACTCCTGTGGGGGAAATCCAAAGTGGTATTGGATGTTGCGGCTCTGAGTCCTGAGTGCTGGGCAAGATGCCCGATGGTCCCTTAGAATGTGGCTGAGTGAGCGGCTCGCTTTGAAAGCCTTGCAGATCCCGTCAGAGTCCAAACATACCACCGTAATACAGGGCAGGGAGGGGCGGAGAGGGGTGGGGAGGCTGATGGGGCAGCTGGACTGTGAGTTTTCCCAGGACTTTCAGACAAATTCCAGGAAGCTAGCTAAGCCCCAACCTCCCATTTTCTAAGAAACACAGGGAGTGTTTATATGTTCTCTGGGACCTCCTTTTTACAACATCAATAGCCCAGAGAGAGAATAGAACATTCAATTGTTAGAACTAGAGAGGAGCCCCTTCCCTCCCTCACTGCCGCTCCATTTACAAACCCAAACACAGGCCATTATTCCTGCTTCCTTGTAATGTTTGCAAGCATGTTAAGATACACCACCACATGTGTGGCTGGTTAAATGCATGTAGAGGTCAGAGCAGGACCCCAGCCAGACTGCCTGCGCTAGGATCCTGGCTCTTCCACTTACTGTGTGGCCTGGCACAAATTCCTAACCTCTCTGGTCCCTGGTTGTCTCCTCTGTCATGTTAGGACCTACTTCCTTGGGCATAGAAAGTCTGAAATGAGTTAATTCACGAAAAGCATTTAAGGTTGTACATCAAGAGTGTGAAGGTTTGGAAGTATCTGGCACATAGCAAGCATTCACTGTGTTGGCTTTTTGTTGTTATTATTATTTTATCACTTGATTTTTCTCAGCCATCCGATTAGCATTTTACCGATCAAGGAAAATACATTAGAGACAGGCTCGAAGAGGTCAGATATAATTTGCCCAAGATCACGTGGCCCATAAGTGAGTGACAGAGCAGGAAACTTGAGCCCCAGCCCCACTGCGCCCCTACAGCCCAGAACTGGCTCTGGAGCTTCCAGCTTGAGCCCAGTTCGGAGCTCCCCATGGCTCCTCTCCCCACAGACACCCAGAAGTGCGAGCTGATCTGCCGGTCAGAGGACACAGGGGATGTGGTCTTCATGAACCAGGTGGTCCACGATGGGACACGCTGCAGCTACCGGGACCCCTACAGTGTCTGTGCCCGTGGAGAGTGTGTGGTAGGTGACCCCGCCAGACCACCCACTCTGCCTGCCCCTTCTGCTCCCTACAAAGACTAGCACTGCCTCACTGTCCCCACCCACACCCCTTAGTCTTCAAACGTAACCCTGGGACGCTAGAAAGGGGCTATTGCCTAGCCCCGTGGTCGGCAAACCGCGGCTCGCGAGCCACATGCAGCTCTTTGGCCCCTTGAGTGTGGCTCTTCCTGAGCCTTAGGAGTACCCTAATTAAGTTAATAACAGTGTACCTACCTATATAGTTAAAGTTTAAAAAATTTGGCTCTCAAAAGAAATTTCAATTGCACTGTTGATATTTGGCTCTGTTGACTAATGAGTTTGCCGACCACTGGCCTAGCCCATTCAAGAGGAGAGAAGTGGCCAGTTTTAAGACCTTGCCCATGTCACATGCAAGCTTGTGACCGAGCCCTGTCCAGCTATGGGCCTGGGGCTGAGGGAGTGGGGGGCACAGGCTGCTGACCTCAGGGTGGTGAATGGGGATGGGAGCCTCCTCCCACTGACCCCACCTCTGGCCTCAGCCCGTCGGCTGTGACAAAGAAGTGGGGTCCATGAAGGCAGACGACAAGTGCGGGGTCTGTGGCGGCGACAACTCCCACTGCCGGACTGTGAAGGGGACGCTGGGCAAGGCCTCCAAGCCGTCAGGTGAGCAGGCTGGGCTGGAGGGAGGCCAGCGGTGCCTGGGCTGCCTTAGCTGTCCCTCAGGTGGGCCCTTCCTCCCAGAGCTGGGTCACAGTTTACGTGGGGAAAAAGGGCCTCAAAGCCAGTCTCCAGACCGTCCTGGCTCTCTAGGGCTGGTGACCAGAAGCGGTAGCTGGTCACCTTCTTTCCAGGTGATCTGCTACCTGTGCTTGGGGCCAGGGGCTCAGAAGCATTTTCCTGCTAGGCAGTGTGTGGTGATGGGTCAGCCATCTCTTGGCTCTGGGGCTGCTGGTGGGAGTGAGGAGTCCGACAAGTTTGAAAGCGCGGCCCCGGCTGAGCTGGTAGTGTGCTTCCCCTCTCTGCTCTCTCACTTTAAAAACACCCGTGGTGCCTCCTGCTTTGAACTCCTGGTACTTTTGAGTTCCTGGACTTTCCTCTCCACCTTCAATTTTGCCAAACTTGCTGTTGAACAGGCCAGATAGTAGTCCTTTACATGTTAGTATGAATGAGCTCATTGCCCTTGGGGGATGTTACAGCTTTGCCTTGCCTCTCCTTGTTGGGAGAAGATTGGTGGCTCCAAGGAAGGTTTGTTTCCGGGCCTTGGGTTGGCCATGAGGGCCCAGGGCAGCCATGCTGGATCTTCATGGCCTGCTTCATCTAAATCCCTGCTGTGGCTTAAGGTGTGAAAAGAAAGAGTGGGGGAGAGGAAAAACCTGGAGAGGAGGGTCAAGAGAGTGGAAATAGTAGCAACTACCACACACAGAGCCCCTTCGAGTCCTAGAGCATCTTGAGCTACAGCAGCTCATGTGATCCTGGCACCACCTTGTGGGGAAGGGCCCAGGCCTGTTTAACAGATCAGGAAACTGAGGTTCCTGGGTACCTACAGGGGTGGGGGGCCACGAACGGGGATGCTGGGCAGTGGGACCATGGCTCAGGCTGCTCACAGCTTTTCTGGATCCTCCTCTGGCAGGAGCTCTCAAGCTGGTACAGATCCCAGCAGGTGCCAGGCACATCCAGATCGAGAAGCTGGAAAAGGCCCCCCACCACATCGGTGAGTGTCCTGGGGCTGGGAGAGGGGCTGCTAGGCCCCCAGAGCTCCCAAGGTTTGGGGGAGCCGGGAGAGGAGAGGGTTCTAATGCAGGAAGGAGTCCACACATTTGAACAATGGCAGAGATCCTCTTTTTCTTTTGTTTTCCTGT